AGAACAGCCTGGCCCCATCCTCTTGACACCCACCCTTTAGATGTTTATAAGCATTGATAAGATCTCCTCTCAGTCTTCTCCAAGCTAAACAGACCTGGGTCTCTCGGCCTTTCCTCATAGGACAGATGCTCCAGTCTCCTAATCATCTTCATAGTCCTCAGCTGAATTCTCTCCAGTAGTTTCCTGTCACTCTTGAACTGAGGGGACCAGAACTGGACACAGTATTCCAGATGCGGCTTCACCAGGGCAGAGAAGAGGGGAAGGATAACCTCCCTTGACCTGCTGGACACACTCTTCTTAATGCACACCAGAATGCCATTGACCTTCTTGGCCACAAGGACACATTGCTGGCTCATGGCAACTTTCTGTCCACCAGAACTTCCGGGTCCTTCTCCACAGAGCTGCTCTCCAGCAGGTCGACCCCCAGCCTGTACTGGTGCATGGGGTTATTCCTCCCCAGGTGCAGAACCCTACGCTTGCCCTTATTGAAATTCATTAGCTTCCTCTCTGCCCAACCCTCTAGTCTGTTCAGATCTCACTGAACAGCAGCACAGCCTTCTGGTGTGTCAGCCACTCCTCCCACTTTTGTTTTGTCAGCAAACTTACTGAGGGGGCACTCTGTCCCTTCATCCAGGTTGTTGATGAGTATGTTGAATGAGACTGGACCCAGTACTGACCCCTGGGGAACACCGCTAGTTACAGGCCTCCAACTAGACTCAGCACCACTGATCACAATTCTCTGACCTCTGTCCTTCAGCTAATTCTCAGTCCACCTCACTGTCCACTCATCTATCCCATTCTTCCTAAGCTTACCTGTGAGCATGTGATGGGAGACAGTGTCAAAAGCCTTGCTGAAGTCAAGGTAGACAACAACCACTACTTGGCCCTCATCCACCTAGCAAGTCACGTCATCATACAAGGCTATCAGGTTGGTCAAGCATGATTTCCCCTTGGTGAATCCATGCTGACTGGTCCTGATAATCTTCTTTTCCTCCACATGCTTAGAGGTAACAGCCAGAATGAGCTGTTCCATCACCTTTGCAGGAACGGAGGTGATTCTGACTGGCCTGTAGTTTCCCGGATCCTCCTTCTTGCCCTTTTTAAAGATGGAAGTGACAATGGCTTTCCTCCAGTTCTCAGACACCTCTCCTGTTCTCCATGACCTTTCAAAGAGGATGGAAAGCGGCTTAGCAATAATGTCTGCCAGCTGCCTTGGCACTTGCGGGTGCATCCGATCGGGGCCCATGGATTTGTGAGTGTCCAGTCTGGCTAAGAGATCCCTAACCCAATCCTCCTCAACCAAGTTGCAATCTTCTTTTCTCCAGACTGCCTCTCCTACCTCTAAGTTCTGGGATTCCTGAGAGCCAGCCTTAGTAGTAAAGACTGAGGTAAAGAAGGCATTCAGTAACTCTGCCTTCTCCATATCCTCCATCACCATCCTCAATCACTCGCCTTATTCAGCAGGGGGTCCACATTTTCCCCTAGTCTTTCTTTTGCCACTGATGTATTTAAAGAATGGCTTCTTGTTGTCTTTGACATCCCTAGCCAGATTTAATTCCAAGCAGGCCTTCCTGCATACCTGCCATCCCTGCATACTCTGACAATATTCCTATATTCCTTCCTTTTTCCACATGTTGTAAACTTCCTTCTTCCCTTTGAGTTTTTCCTGAAGCTCCTTGCTCATCCAAGCAGGCCTTCTGCCTCCTTTGCTCGATTTCTTCCTCATAGGAAGTGGTGCTTGAATAGCAACCAGCTCTCTTGGGCCCCCCTACCTTCTAGAATCCTAGCCCATGGGATTCCTTCAAGTAGGTCTTTGAAGAGGTCAAAGTTATCTCTCTTGACGTCCAAGGTTTCAATCCTCCTGATTGCCCTGCTTTTCCATGCAGGCTCCTGAACTCCACCATCTTGTGGTCAGTACAGCCAAGGCTGCCCCCAACCTTCACATCCCTGACCAGGCCTTTGTCAGCACAAAGTCCAGCTCTCCTCATTGGTTCTTCCACCACCTATGTCAAAGAGTTATCATCAATACTTTGGAGGAATGTCCTGCACTGTGGGTGCTTGGCTGCGTTATTTTTCCAGCAAATATCAGGGTAGCTGAAGTCCCCCATGAGAACCAGGGCCTGTGATTGTGAGGCTGCTTTCAGCTGTCTGTAGAAGGCTCCATCTACTTCCTCTTCCTGATCAGGTGACCTATAGTAAACATCCGCAACAATGTCACCCATATTAGCCTGCTCCCTAGGTCTTACCCATAAGCTCTCAAATCACTCGTCATCCCCTGCTAGGCAGAGCTTGATACATTCCAGGTTCTCTCTCACATAAAGACCAACTCCTCCACCTCACCTGGTTGGTCTGTCTTTCCCAAAAAGTACATAACCATCCATGACAGCATTCCAATCATGCGAGCTATCCCACCATGTCTCTGTAATTGCAAAAACGTCATGGCCCTGTGACCGCTCACAGATCTCTAGCTCTTCCTGTTTGTTCCCCATGCTGCACGCATTGGTATACAGGCATTTCAGAGAGGTAATTGAGCACACAGGTTTCCCTGGAGGGGTGTGCCAGGATCCACCATAGCCATACATGCCCTTGGGGCAGTTGACCTGCTGATATTCATCAGGGGAGGCAGCTAAGGTATGCTTATTGCTGCTCTGCTTGACCTGGCTTATTCCCCTGTTGGATATGATGGTATGGGCATTACCACTTGGAACTCCTCCCCCCGAATGCTTCAGTTTAAAGCCTGACTCACCAAGCTGGCCATCCTGTTGCCAAAGATACCCTTGCCTCTTCCAGACAGGTGGATTCCATCCCTCCCTAACAGGTTATGGTCAAAGAATGTCCTGTTGTTGTAAAAAACAAAACCTCACAACAGCATCAGGCATGTAATCAGCAGTTGATGTGCATTGTTTGTCTGTTTCTGGCTGCCTTTTTCCTCCAACTGCTAAGATAAAGGAAAAGATAACTTGGGCACCAGAATTTTTCACTTTCAACCCCCAGGGCTTTTTAATCTTCCTTGATTTTACCCAGGCTGTGACTTGCAGCATCATGCATGCCCACATGAAAGAGCAAAAGTGGGAAGCAGTCTTTATAAGCTGTGGCACCCTCTCAGCTACATTCTCTTAGCTATTGGAAGCCAGCATACCTCCCATAATTCTCTGTCAAGACAGCAGATGGACTTCTCAGTGCCTTTTGACAGAGGGTCTCCCACTACGATCACTCATTGTTGCTTTTTCTTCTGGTACCCACTGTGTGCTGCTGGTACAGTTTCTCTATGCAGGCCTTGCTTGTGGTTGTCTATATCTGTTAAAGCTTTATATCTGTTTTTCTGTTGTGATGCTGGAGTGTGGAGAGTGAAGTGAAGCCTTGCTTTTGTGGGCCACCAGGGTCCAAGGTGCCTCATTC